TAGTCCAGCCCTTTAACCACTGTGCCACACTAGCTGTAAATAAACAGTCGCTCAGCCACTGACCCTTCCCCACATGCCCTGATTATGCACTGCTGCAGAAAACAAGTGAAGATGGCCTTCTCTCTCATACCAGCATAGGAGTGCCTGGTTAGCCAGTGCTGGAGAGAAAAGCTGGAATTGCTATACTTTCCTCTGTTCTGAAAAAGCCATTTCTCTATGGGAGCAGTGGCGGTAACAACAAGTGCAGTGCAGATTGCAAGAGATGGAAGTGCATGGGAAGAGAACACAAACATCCAACTTCCAATTTCATACCAGTGTATATGTGGAGAACATCAATGACAACATATGGGGGGAAGCTTTAAAATCAAAGAGAAATACAGATGGTTCCCAGACCAGAAAGGTTTGTGTTTGTTTTTCACTAATTTTTCTGTCGTTTTCTAAATCATGATATATGAAAACAATTATTTTCCTTGGAGGAGGAGGATGCTGAAATGTCAAGGGCTCCTTCAGGCTCTACTGTGATAATGAATTATTGAAGAAATAAAAATTTTTGCTACTTCAGTGAAGAAAGACATTTTGTGACCTTTTGAAGCTTTATAGCGATAATGAATTTTCTGCAGAACTCAGACACTTTCAGTTACTCTATTAAAATAAGAATGCTTGAGGAATAGCTGTGACCCTGACCTTTGAAAAATTAATGGAGTACTGATTTTGAAGGAACTGATAAAAATCTGGTTATTATCTAGACTCTTATTTATTACTGTCATGCCAATAATGCCCAGATGTATATATGATAACTATTTTTTAAAAAACTAAACAATGTTCTTTAGTGACCTTAATTCACCAGTTGAACTATTAGCCCTTGATATTTAGATACAAGTTCTCTACACATTCATTGTCATGCTGATAGTATGTTTTGTACAAAGATGTTGTGGTTCAAAATGAAGGTCTTTCCAAGTCAAGGCATAACCCTATGTATGTTTGTATAGGAAAAAAAATTCTATGATTCTCAGTTTTAGGCTGGAGAATGCTGGGAGTTGTAGGGCTGTTTTCTTTTTAAACGTTGCCTGCAAGTAACATTACCATACTAGGTTGGACAGGATAAACCCCAGATGATATCCTGTAATAAAATGTGAGGAATAGAATAACTAGGTTCAGCCATAAGTTCAAATTAATTTATCAAGGATTGATCAAGGATTTGATTTTAAGAACCATCTTTTTCAAACTGGTATTAACAATCCAGTGCAGAGAAGAGCACAATATGCTATGTTTTAGAAAACTTAGTTTTAACTAATGCTTTACAAAAGAGAATAAGGAAGCTGGATAATAACCAATGAGAAGGTTTCATATCAGCACTACCTAAAATACTAAAATGAATGTCAAAAGAAGGGAAATAATTAAAAACCAAGGTAGAAAATCTAGACACAGCATTGATTCAGCAAAATGTATATTGTACGTACCTAGATGACCAAAGCTGCCTTATACCAAATCACCCTGTTCGTCTATCTAGCCCAATACCATGCAGTTTGACTGGCAATGGTTCCCTAGGACAGAGGGGCACAGATGGTAGATCTAAATCTACTGGCAGATCTCTGGGTGATCTCAGGTAGATCAGCAAGGATTTCTGATTCCCACTCAATAATAGCACTAATAAAATGAATCTCCTGCACTTCCTCCTTTACTTACTTACTTACTTACTTACTTACTTACTTACTTACTTACTTACTTAACATCTTTACTGCTCAATAGCCAAAGTCCTTTGGGAGCATTGTCTTTGGAAAAACAATGTATTAAAGTGCCCTTTTCCCTCAAAATACAAAAATTTAAAAACAATTTTAACCAACAGCTAAAACAACATAGCTGCAAAAGGCCTGTGATGGGTAATCCCTTAAGTCCTTGAATATCCATGTATATTTTAAATGCCTTGGTATAAAGGGCTATTTTAACCAGACACTAAAAAAAGGACAAGAGTTTGGCATCATGCAGGTCTCAGTGGGGAGGTCATTCCATAGCTGCAGGAGCTCCAAAGAGACAGCCCTCCCTCTTGCTGCTGCCCTTCAAGCCACCTTGGTGGAGGCCCTAGATGTTGAGCATAGCAGGCAGGTATGATTGTAGTTGAAAGAAATTCTGCATTAGGTAAATTATTCCACTCAAATTAAGAATGATTGGCCTAAGCAGGAGCAGATTTCTGCATGTAAAGACTATGAGATTCACTTAAATCTGAACTTATGGTAGTCAAAATCACTATCACAATCAGTCACTATCACATTCACATTCACAACCAGCATCCTGGACTTAGGTTTCTTTTGCACCAGTCTCCAACTGGGTGATTGTGGGATCCTAGTAAAAAAGGTAGATTGGACAAGCCTGACATCTGCCCATCCCTGCTCTAGGGGAGACATCCAAATGTATCCACCCACCAATGGAATGGAATCCATACTCCTCTGTATATCCCTTCCCTAATGGGACACTCTACAAAATATTTGGGGGACACATGAGAACTATAATGGGTGAGGAAAAGATGAGAAATTCCATTATGTGAGTGGAAACCTACTTGCCCAAATATGGATGTAGCCTAGGGTTACAGGCAAGAGTCAGCTTTGAGCAGAGACGCTGTAAATTGCATTTGGGAGCTTACAGGTAGAAAGCATGTGCTCTGCTGAGCTACAGGCCATGCCTTCCCATATCTTACATTTTGTATATTGAAGTGATATCTGAACTTATGGAAAAATAGATCAGTATAATTAATTTTACTTGGATTTCAGTAAAGCATTTAATACAATATTATTAGAAAGTTGCAGGTTAGGATGGAAAAGATTGGAATTAAACAGGTTATTCTGGTCCCTACTTGACCATTAAACAGGCTAATTAAATAGGCATGGCCTATTTATGAGAGATGTTTTTATACATATACATTTATACATATATTTATCTTGCATTGTCTGATTAACTCTGAACTAAGTTGCCTTTTGTATTCAGGCTCCCCTCAGATAGTAACCTTCCAAATTGAATGCAGTCCACCAACTAGACAATTATCTTGATTCTGAAATTCCAGAAGAGAAACAAAAACAGGAGATTTATTGATTGCTAAGTGGACAACCATTCCTGGTTCCTGGTCTTCATTTGGAAAAATGCATGCATAATTTATCTGTTCGGCACTTTTAGAGTTGAGAAAAAATGACTATGTTCATACAATGTAACACACAACCTTGCGTGGTTACCATGGTTTGCATTTTTTACCATGTCTACCTGACAGATGATCATGTGGTTTCTACTTCATCATGGCTTCCACAGTCCTCCTACTGCTGGTGTGTATTCCTCCAATCACTGTGCTTGAAATTCACTCCCAAGGTGCATCACTCCCTGCCTATATCACCTGCCTCTTCCTCATTGGTCCACAAATAGAGACTGGATGACTGGAGCAGCTCCTGTAGTTGTCACTCTTTCCAGAGGCCTCTGTGGTAGTTGCATACCATGATGTAGAAGCCATGATCTTGAGTTTCAATAACATGATGGTATAGAGAAACCATAGGACAAACAGTTGTTTCCTGTCATGGTTTCTAAAGGCCAGATTTGCCATGGTGAAATACTATGACTGAGTTCAGACAACATGACAGACCAACAATGATAAAAGACCACCATGGCCTGTCATGTTGTCTGAATCCAGCCCATGTTTTCTTAACTCTGACAAGTAACAGTTCTCCAAGGTCTCAGATTCTGCCCTACCATGATCTGATGAGTCATGTGGCTCAGAGAGCAGACTGGGCAGGACAGCAGATCACATCCCTCATCCACTGCCTATTGCTGTCGCTGCTGCCAGTATTGTCACCACTTCACCCAACAGCCCATCAACCCTGGAACACTGCTGCACATTTGCTACTGCAGCAAATACTATTGAAAGCAGATACTGGTGCCTCACCATCTCTCCAGGGACAGGTTGCCCACAATGCTTCAGTCTTAGGAAAGAAGCCTTTGTCAAAGCATGGCCCTGAAGAATGAGATTGCCCTGGAGAACCTGAGAGAGCCTGTGCATCCACCACCATTAAAGGGTGAGGAGTGGTGCTGCTGAAAGGACTGTATGAGGACAGGCTTACTAGTTTGCCTCAGGTAGTGCTCTGTCTTGTGTTAGCCATGGTCTTAGGCTGAGTTGCTTCATGCCACATGCAATGTGATCCTTTGGACTGGTCATGCCACAGAAGGAACCTAGTGCCTACTTTCAAAGGACAGGTTCCACCACCCTTTCCCAAATAGACTCAGGAAGTATTTACAATTCTGTGCAGTGTATCACACAGCTCATTTCAGCCATGCAAGAATATTTTAAACCATTTCCTTATCATACAGGCACCTACCAAAGTGCATTTTATTAAATCTTGTTCCATATTGTAATCTACTCTTATAGATAATGTATACTTTTATTGGGAGGCTTGAATCAAATGAGCTCTATGTACTTTGTAGTCCTGAAATTCTAAGGTTTCAAATTCACAAAATCAGGAGGAGGAGGAGGTTCCATGGAAATCATACAGTTTTCATACATTCTTTTAGTTTTCAAATAATGACAGGTGTTAGACATTAGAAACAGCAAAGAAAATATGCTTCTTTGGTTAGAAAAAGTAAAGACCCCCTTCACACACATGATTATGTACCTACAAAAGCAGTGCATGCCTTCCCCTTACACTGTGTTCTTTCTGGCACAATTCTATATTTTCCCATCAACAATGAAAAGAAAAAAAAAAAGAATGGCACAAATCAATGTGGCTGGGTAATAACTCACAGTGTCTTTTCAGCCCTTGTGCAGCACGTAAAAAATGGAGCCCAGAGGAGCTAACTGTCCTGTAATCAAGATAAATTCTTCTGATATTCTTGCAAGTGCAATATATAATGTCACTGAAATTCAAAGTTGATTTATTATAAACTAAATATTCACATATTATAAAATATTAATGAAAAATGAAATGGGCAATTCCATAATAAATTATGGCACCAATTCAACTGAGCACAAATGTTGAGCAGGTATACAAAATGAAATCACAGGCAGTCTGTATAATTTTGTGGAACTATGCAGAATGTTCACTAGACCAGAATGTCCACATCTCAATAGAAATGCATGTGAAAGAGGTCAGAAAATGAGCTGAGCTGAGCTATTCTTTGTGAATTTTTTTTCCTAGCTGGTGACCATCTCTACAGCTTGCAGTAGTAATTGCAAAAATGCAATCACAGATGGCAACAGAGGCTGCTGAAGTGATGGTGCATGAGCAGGACTGGAATATAGTACTTTGTGATACAGTATACTTCACAAGCCATTGTTATCACAAGGAAACACTATGTATTTGCTGCTAAGTTTCACAGCACAGATATTCCAACTCCCTAATGGATCAAACAAGTCAGTTCACACATCCTGTCATTGCTGGCTCAACTGAACTGTAAGCCAAGCAGTGTGTTGAGTCTGTGCAGCTAAGGATTGTTGCCTCATTCTTATTTGTACCTTCCATGGGGGATTTTAACACTGAACATGCATCCATCTGTTTCCATGTATATAGGGAGCTATTTTGAATTAATGACAGGGCTGGATGGGGGCCAGTTGCAGCAATCCTATACCCAGTCATGGATCTGCTACTCAGTGGAATGCAACATCAATAACTGGGCACAAAACTGCAGCCACGATGCATCCTTTCCAAAACTGCAGAACTGTGTATGTCATAATAGTTTTATTTGCATGCAGATATTTATTTGGGTAGTTTTTAGCACAATGCCTGAAGTAATGGCCTTATAGATATTGAGGGTACTAACACATTTTTATTAAATTAGTTCTGATTAAGTAATGGACTCAATTTATCATGCTTCTTAATTTCTGTGTCTTGCATCTTTGCCTTTAAGTCCAATTGTGTTTAAATTAAATTTACTATAATACATAGACACATGGGTCACTCTATTTCTGATTTTGCATGTACACAATGCATACAATTGTGAATGGTAGTGGAAGTCCCTTACCCAGAAATAACTCTATATCAATGTTGCTCTCTTGAATCACCTCTGGGAAGCCTTTAATAAAAACCTCCAATTTGTCTTTTCAGATCGATAAGATTAATGTTTAACACCTCTTTAATTCATGAATTAAAATGCCAAAAAAAGAAGTATATTGACAGATTCTGATTAACAATCTTCAGTTTCAACTTGGGTTGAGCTACTTTCATGATGTCATTCTGTTCAGATCTTGAAAAATAAAACTGCCTCTAATAGAATACAGAGTTGCAGCACTGCTATGCGACAGGCCATCTAGTAATGGCTGTGTGGTCAGGAACATGTTTGGTTTAGGAGTTAAGGAAATTTTGACTCAGAGCCAGTTGGTTTTTAATTCAGCTGAATCACTGAAACTTGATGAAATGCCATAAGACTATCTAAAAGAAAGCAGATCCTTCACAATGGAAGAGCTGACGTCACCCTCCCAGCTGCCAAGCCATCAATAACTTCGGAGACCTGGTAGTTTTTTTAAAGGAACGATGCAAAGTTTAACAAATATGTGTGCTACATACATTTTGCCATTTTCCCCAGTGCACTTAAGTGCACTTAATTTGAAACATATATCTACCTATTATATGATTTTATCCCTCTATAAGAGCATTCAAGTGACATATTCATTAGGGAACAGTAGGTTTTCTTTAATTCTTAAGGAAATGTTGTATGAAAAGATTAAACAGAAAGGCAAGAGAATCTGCAAATGTAGATGATCACTAAAATATTTTTAAAGCACTTCAGTGTCTAGACATTGGTTTCTGTTCAGTGTAGCAACGTGTTGAGTCTCTGGTGGGCTAATTTATGCAAAAATTATAGCATATGTTTAGCAGGGCTTATTTCCTCCAGATCTCTGTCACAGCAGAACCCACAAAGATATTTTTTAAACTTTTGAAAAATGGTTTGGCTCAGGCTGTAACAGAAAGAGAACATAAGCCCCAGTAAACCTCAGTGTGTATATGACTGTTTGGCAAAACATTACTGCATCAGTACTTTTGTGTTGCAAGATGCTCCTGGTCCTTTCAATGTGTCTCCAGAATGGACGGCATCCTGCTTTGGTTTCTAATATGTTACTGGAATCCCTTTTCAACCAAATGGCTGTCCAAATGTAAATTTGCAATTATCTCTGTTAGAAGTGCACAAACATTTTGACCCCAAGGATGACACTGGGAGGTGCCAGACAATACAGATGCACAAATGTAGATGCAGGGATAGGAAAGGGATTCTCCTGCTAGTGCCGGCAGGAGAAACTCCAGACCATGCTGCCTCCCTGGCAGAGAGGCTGATCTGGCAAGCTGCCAGAAATCATTTGTCAGGCAACATGTGGCCTGTAGACTGCACTCTTTGCAGTCCTTGTCTACATTATGTCTCACGGATAATTGTATACTGTTGTAAAATAAATAATTACAGAAACAGTGTGCACAAGTCTCTGTCTTTTTATAAGCACTGAGATTATACACTGTGGCCATGTAACGTGTGGGCAAGGTGCTGTTTTAGCTGCATCTCTCTCTCATTTACAATGCCTACCCTTTCAGTTAAAATGTATTTTGAGAAGCTAGCACTGAAACACCTGGGAACATCTGCAGCAACAAATCTGTATAGCAAACTTTAAATCTGACCCAGGCAGTAGTTTACTCAACATATGCAGGGGTGTGCAGGCTTAGCCTCGCAGGATCTACCTTCTTTTTCACTGGAACCCAGGGTTCACCAGCCAGGGCCAGGTACAAAATGTCTGGCAGACATAACATGGCAGAACAAGGTGCCAGTGAGCTTGTGCTCAGCCAAGGAATTTCTTTGTAGTACCAGAATAATATCTTTCACATATAAATCTAATCCTGTTTTTCTTCATGCTCTCTTGATTTCCTCCACAAGCCATCTTGATGCTAAATTGGAAAGGAAAATAAGGCTTTTTGTAGTTGCTATTGTTAAATCACTGGCAGACAGAAGTCCTTGTTAATCTATTGAATATCATTTAGAGATCTTTTAGCAGATTTCAAGTCTGCCAACCCATTTTTACACACCTGCCCAATCTCTGAGCCCCCTCTCTTGGAATGAGGAGCACAGTGTTGTAGTGTCCCACTTCTGGAATTAATTCCATCAGGACAAGCTTCCCCAACCTGGTGACCTCAAGACCTTTTGTGTTTCATCAGCTCCTGCCAGCACAGCTGGTGGTAGTCAGGATCACCTGCAGGACACAAGATGGGGGAAAGCTGCTCTAGTAGATCTGTGCTGCTCAGCAGTAATTTGATACTAAGTAAAAAACATTTTATTTCAGCTTGGCTGCTTTTGCTGGTTTATCCTGGCTCTTTTATGTTAAATGATTCTGCTACTGTATTTTCAATCACTATGTATTGTGATTTTGATTGTTTTAATTTGATTTAACATTATTTTACTCTATTTTGCAAATGAATGCTGGAAAAGAAAATATAAATGTTTTAACAAATACAACTAACAGAAATCTAGCTTATATGGAAGCATTTTTGTATTGGCAGTTCCTCAGATTTGTATTAACATCCACCATTTGGTTAATTACATAAATTGCAAACAAATACTATAGGTTCTAAGATAATTATGTAAATATTGCAGGTTATCAGAATTTTTAAAAACTAAACAGCTATAATCTAAGAATACCTGACAGCATCTTTATAAGACAGAAATACCAGCTAGAAACACTGCAAACCAATAATTCCAATAATAAAGAACTGAAAAAAGAAAACCACCTTGAATTACACTGAGCAAGAGAAGAAGGTTAAGAGTAAATGCGACTGAGCATTATGAAATGGTCCAGTCCATATTGTGTGTCACATTAATTAAGAACTTTGGTGCCTTCTCTAGAAGCCATGCAATCTTTACACTTTTACATGAATCAGAGGTGAATTCATCTCCAAAATGTTACTGAATGGAATTATGTTAAGGAATATGAGCAGGAGAGCAATTTAGCGCTCTCATAATTCACACTCAGAATATTATATTCAGGCTGCACCAGTCTTACACAACTTCCTTCCTTGTGGTCCTCCAAATGTGTTATCACTGGGTTGTAGCCCAAGACATCTGGAGAATAAGTTTAGGGAAAGCTGTTCAATGGAACTTACTGCTCAAGTATACATGTGTACAATTTCAGAGCATCATGTTTTGCAACAGGTGTTAACATATTGGGAAAACATGAAAAAGGGAGTTGAAAGATGTAGAAATACTACATCTTTGCTATAGAAAATAACGCTATAGATAGTAATGCAATTTAAAGAGTTAAAATACCTTCTAGATTCAATATTTAGATAGATTCATTTCAGTGTTCCTTACAAGGGGATCAAAAAAGTTTTGTCATATTAGCACCAAATGCCAGATGGAAGGCTGAGTCTTAGAAGGAACATGACAAGCCTGAATATGGTTTAAATCTGAATTTTCATTGATCTGTGGATTGTCACTGAACTGTGACTTGTTATGTCATCTAAACAAATGCTTTGTTTATCACAAACAACCACAAGAAAATCCATGGTTTGTTGGTTGCAAACTGTGGGTTGTGTTGTCTAGATGATGTAATGGCCTAACACTCCAATGGTCAAAGGTATAAGGTATTTGCCTAATCTATGGAAAGGGAAAAATTATCCTGTGGATATCTCTTGCTCTCTTTATTTATAGTATTTATGTATTCATTTACATTTCAGGGTCATTGGTTCCAAAACTCAGCACGAAAACAAGCCAAAACCAGCAGAGGGAGCAGACAAAGCCAGCGTCCTGGATCAAGGGGCTAACCGAGCAGGCCCCATTCCATACTCTAACCAACTGTACCATCATTGCGGTGGCAAGAAGTGAGCCCTGGCAAGCAAGATCATGTAGCTTTACATGGTTAGTAAAAGAAGGCTTGTATTCTAAAAGTAAAATTTAGCAATTAAGCAGAGAATGTTATGAAGCTCCAGATCTTTAAAACAGTATCATGACAAATGGCTTGAAACTGAGGAAAGGACATGTAGAAATGAGGTGAAGTATAGGAAGCAAGACTCTGGAGGATTTGAGCAAAACCCTCCTTTCTGCAAAAGCATTTCAGAAACTGAACCAGTGACATGAACAGCAATGAGATTTCTTGCACCATGTGGCTCAAATGATGCATTATATAGATGTACCAAGATACTTTGATTCCCATTGCTGTCTTATGATGTTGCTACTTATTATACACACTCCTGAGTAGACTGAAGCTGAAGAGAAGGAAGACTGACTGGAAGATGGTTTTGCACAGTTCAAAATTGCCTTCTTTAAGCAATGGGGAGCAGGAGTTGAGAGGTATGCCTGGATTGCATCTGAACCATGAAACAGAGCAAAGCATGGAAGGGGAAGGGAAAGTGAGTAGTAAAAAAGGGGGAAGAGGGACTTCCCTTTCCCAGCAACAACAGTAACAGCCCTTAATCCCTGCCAGTGTCTGAAAACATGTACAACATATATGGCTGCCATTGTGACATTTAGTCTGGCCTGCAGTGATAGCACAGATGGGTTTTTTTGGGGGGGTTGTTTTTTGGTTTTTTTTGGGGGGGGGTTGGTGCTACTGTGCTCTTTGTTCACCTCTACTGTATTCCTCAGAACCATCCAAGGAACGAGTGCAAGTTATTCAAACAGGGCTGTTATTCTTTATCTTCACTGAAATCTGCCCCATATATATTGTTCTTGGTGGTTAGTTAGAATTTACATGAGGAGTATAAATTCTTCATTCTGCATTGGGCCCAATCATCTTTCTTCCAGAATCTTTTTGTTACAGCTGTATAAGACAATACTAAGGCAGAGATTTTTGAGTGCCTTGAAAAACACCAATCCATTCAAAAGGTGTGACGCCTATAATCTGAAAACAGGTTAACTATTTTGAATGTTATAGAAGCAAAGTTTGTTTCTTATAGCCTTTAATTTAATAGTTTTAAGTGTTTAATTTAATAGTCCTTAATTTCCACAGAACCTTTCCGACCTGCTAAATATCATATTGACACAATGGCCAGGTTTACTTATTTGAAATTAGAACAATGAAGTACAATATGCAAAGTGACTGCTCCTTTCAATATTCAGCTAGTGCAAGAATGCAGAACCTTGGATAAAAAAATCAAATCTGGCCCTCCTGGGGTCTCAATCTGGTCCTCTGGAGATCCCAAATAGTCACACCCCATTTTACCTGCCTCCAGGCCCTTCCCTCCTATCACTAATCATTTAGAGGTGTTTGCACAGTCTCCATCCCCCCCATTCCAGCCCCTCCTTTTGCCTAATAACAGGCAGCAAGAGCTTCAAGACATGATATGCTGATATTTTTGTCCCTGCTCCTCTTGCCTTTCGTCCTTCCTACCACTGGAATGTGGCCACTGAAAACTTCTCTGAAATTGAATTTGGTTCTCAGGCGGAAAGAGGGTGAACATTCCTGAGCTACAGTAACCACCCAAAGCTTTTGATCCACCCAGCAGAACATAGCACATCAGCTATGTATGATGGCACAGCAGGAGCTTGCTAAACTTGCTGGATTTGTTATCTGTCTGGGACATCAGAAATGAAGATTGTCAGCTCCCTGGCAGACCCCAGCACATGTCTGGTGGGCTGCCTCTGGGCTCAGAAGTTTCTAAGTCTATGGAGAAATTTTCAGGTCATTACTTTTGAATCCTAACAGTAGTTGCAAATTGTTATGACACAAGTATACTTCGAAAAAGGGATCGTTTAATGCACATTAAATGCACTAACAGGTTTTAATGAATTTTTAATATAGTGTTGTTTCACATACCTTTGCTCCCATCCAATAAGAGAAGACATGTGAACCGACTGAACTGCACAAGTTTCTAACTACTGTAAAGAATGATCTGGAACAGATTTTGTTCAACACTCTCAAAATGTCTATTTGGTCAGAGGAATGGATCAAAGATTCTACTCCCCTTTGGTCAAACATATGGTCAGGGATGCTGGATACTTTCTGTCCCACACTGCTCTTTGTAGCCAAGGTAAATGCATATATCGTATCCATCTGCAAAGCTATTTATGTCCCTCAGGATCAGGGATACATAGCTATCACCTTCAATGTCTACAAAGCACACGAAAATTTGTAAGAGAACTGACAAATAATGGAGGTAGTTCATACAAAATCTTCTGAGATATAATTTAAGAAACCACTCAATTAACATAAATCGCAGGACTGGCTGCTCTTATATAGTTTGGCAAGAAGAAAAAGATTACAAAAGATAGCCTGAGTAGCGGATGCAACAGACTTTAGAGGAACAGTATGTCAGCCAGATGAAGAGGTAAAAGAGGAAGTCTTTTTCTAATGAGGCAGTGGTTACCCCAACACCCCTGCCAAATGTGGGGCTCCGGAAAGACTCTGTCATTCATACAGTGCCTATATTGTCTTGAGATGTGCTGCATTGTTCAAGCTGGAATGAAGGGCTCCTTCCTAGTCATCTCACCATCAGAATGTTAAGAAATGCATATCATTTGTAGTATATGCACTGGGAAAAGGGAAAAAAGTAAACCTGGTCATTGTGGAATCTATGCCAAGAGCAAATATCAGACTCAACTCATTTTTGCAGTAGCATATTATCTTGGCCACCAGCTTGGTTCAACTAACATCACAGAAAATGAGTTCCAGAAGAGTCATTGCTTTGCAGAGCGATGATCATAAGGGGAGTCAGTAGGGCTGCATCAGTCAGCACAGTATTCTTTCAAGACTGGTTGGCACAGCAAGGCCTTGAATCAGACAGTTCTCTTGTGCTGCTGTCACCCACAAGAAGCACAGATGCAGCCAACCACAAACTATGTACCCATGTTGTTTCTATACAGGAAAAGGCCAAGTGCAACTAGCTGTTCTATGTAGGTTTCACATCTAAAAATTAATTTTAATTTCTAAAAAGCTAGGTAATAGGGCTAAACATTTACTGAAGTTTCAGGACCTGCCCCTTTAATCCCAAAGGTATGAGATTACAGGAGTGAGAGTAGCAAAAGAGATGCACTACATAGATGCCTATGAACATATCTCATGTGCCTGCAGGACTCCTGTCACTGAAAACAGGTTCAGCAGGTGAGTCATGGTGAAGGCTCAGTCAACTTAAGCTCTGCATATGGAATACCATCTACCTACCACAATGATTTCTGACCAATTAATTAACTACGTAGCAAAGTACCCATGGGGCAAGTCTATTTGATTTATCAGAAAGCTGCAGAGAAGATCTGGATGGGAGAGTCATTGGCAAAATGAGTACATGCCACTTTGAGTTCTGCTTAAGAAAGGCAGAATATAAATAAGTAAAATAGGGAAAAGTTTAAAATAAGCAATTCATCCATTCATTACAGTTCAGTATCACCTAACATCCAACATACTCTAAATGGTTCATAACATGGGAAAATGTAATGTACCTTTAATCTATAAAACCTTTAACATATAAACGTTTAAGATAGTCTGAAAAAAAAAGAATAAAAGCAACAGCACTTGATAAAAATGTAATATTAAAAAAACCTATCACATACCATCAAATGCTGGGAATAGAAGAAAGTCTTGACCTGATGCTGAAAAGATGAGCACAGGCAGACCTCAGCAAGGAGAGCATTCCACAGTCAGGAGGTGAACGCTGAAAAGGCTCTTACTCCTTGCTGCCATCTCCCAAGCCTCCCTTAGATAAGTCTTTTGGAGGAGGGCCTCAAATGTTGGTTGCAAAGTATGGTTAGGCTCATATCAAGAGAGTTTCGGTTTTGTGGCAATATAGAAACTTAGTCAATATAGTAAAGGTAAAGGTTTCCCCTTGACATTAAGTCCAGTCATGCCTGACTCTATGGGGCGGTGCTCATCTCCATTTCCTAGCTGAGGGAGCCAGCGTTTGTCCGCAGACGGTTTCCGGGGTCATATGGCCAGCTTGACTAAACACCGAAGTCACGGAACGCTGTTACCTGCCCACCGAAGTGGTACCTTTTTATCTACTTGTATTTGCATGCTTTCGAACTGCAAGGTTGGCAGGAGCTGGGACAGAACAACAGGAACTCACCCCATTGTGCAGATTCGAACCGGCGACCTTTCGATCTACCAGCCCAGCAGCACAGCAGTTTAAACCACTGCGCCACCTGCAGTCCCTTAGTCAATATATACATACATAAATAAAGAGAAGCACCCTATGGAATACAACTTGCAGCTGCTTCCATTTTGTTGAGAGGAACAGCTTTCACACACAACAAACTATTTCAGGGAGTCCTTGCATTATATATTATAACAAGAACACTGAGAGATCTCTGCATGGTTAAGAGTAGACCTGTATAGCATGTGGCTTCCATAGTATGCCAGCCTGTCCACCTGGTGCTTCATAAAATGTTTTGCAGTACCAGCAAGACCAAAACATATGTCTGGAACATGATGCCTTACGAAGTGGAATGCTTTTGTCCTGGCCAAGAGCCACAGTATATTTTCTTTCCACACACACCCCTCCCTCCCTCCCTCCCTCCCACAGAGAGGGAGGGAGGGAGGGAGGGAGGGAGGGAGTTGCTGAGCTGCTTGCCTGTCACTGCTTCAAGGAAAAGAACAGCAAAAAGTGGCTTGCACACGATGCAATTCCTAATTCAGCTACTCCCTCCTCCCTCTCTCCCCTCTGTTTCCTGCACTTCCAGTTTTGCAGAAGAAGAGTGAAAGGGAATGTGCAAGGCATCAGAACTGCAAAGCCTGGGAACCCTGCAAGGACTGCCATCTGTGGTTTTGGACACCTCTTTGTTATTACATAATAATTTCATTAAGGAACTTAGAGAGTGTAAAAAAGGACATGTTCCAATGAAAATTTTCTTAAAACAATTCCCACATGGAAAAGCTTAGATTCTGGCAACAAATAAAACAAAACAAAAAATAGCTGTGAAGAACTGTAAAACAGACAGCATTTAGTGGAGAAGCAGAATTGGCAAAACCTCCCAACTTGTGTAATTACAGCTCAAAAGCAACCATGGGATTTGGAACTATGTTGCCATGTATGAACTAATTCTTCCCACACATCTATAGCCCTCCATCTGCAAGGTTAACCATGGAGCTTTATTATACATGAAACAACACATGGGTGTATACACACAGCTATTAGAAGATCGCCAGCACTTCTCAGTGCTGGAGACAGTTTGCTCTCTGGCATGATGCCTCACCATGTACCTGAGACATGTGGTTATCTGTCAGCAGCTCCATGCTCTGGACTACATTATGGTTTACATATGAGTAACTCTGGAGCACAAGAGAATGCAACAGACTCTGGGAATGATTTAGAGGGTAGTTAACTGTGTGCTGTAGATGAGATCACTGCAACATGTTATGGCAAAGTAGAAGAATGGCTGGTGTCCAAGCTTATTTCAATTTTCCACCTATAGAAAAATAAAACTTACCTGGCTGGAGGAAATTCCCCCTTGGCCTTAACCAGTTCTCTTAAGTCTTTAAGAGTTCCAGAAATTAATGATAGACTCACATGGTGATGGATCCACGAAAATTGGGTCTATGTTATGAAGCAGCTCCTTTCTGGGTGATGGTTTTCCTTCACTGCAACAAAGGTTATTAGGGGGAAAATATTACATTTCCTTCTACAGTTTAAAAGAACCTTGTGCTTACTCTTTCAGTGCTTACCTTTTGATCTTTTCAAGAAAGAATGAAGTCTGTTAACATGGTGCTCAAAATGGGTGCACAATATTTATCTGTACTGGGAAATTTGTACCTCAATGTATCATGTTTGTTTTAAGGTGTGCAATTTGCTTTGCCTTACAAAAAGTGAAAGGGATTTACAGTGAATCAATACAAAAAAAATTACATAATATTTTTAAACTGAACATGCCTAAACTGGACATGTTTTCACTTGTTTCTGAATTACTGAAGAGAAGTGCTCAGGAGGCTCCTTTTGGGCAAGAATTCTAAAGTGCAGTGGTTTCCTAGCTATTTATTAATATGTTAACATAGATATTAATACCTTGACTTAGTACAGAAAACACAATTAAACACTCTCAATGGTCTACCTTCATTAAGCAGAAAACAGCACAATTTTATATTAGTTAGCACTTCTGAACGTATTTATTTATTTTCTTCTTTGTATAGATTATTTCTAAGCTGCTGTTTATGGAAAAAAGACAATAAAACTGTGACAAAACAGTACCAATCATTTCTGTTTTGGCCAAAATGATGGTCTCACAACATAAATGTGACTTTCTTTACAAAATGTACAGCAAATCCATCACAGTAGGCCTTCAAGCATATTAAGAGTCTACACCAAGAAAACCCTTCACTACTTGAAAAAGTTCTTCCAGATAACATTGAGCAGACTAATGGTGCCAGAGAAGGAAGGGCAGCACCATTAGATTTTGACCCTCTATATGCAAGATTTTATTTTTATTCACTTCTGAGAAACCTGATTGCTATGGCTGTAACTTTATCAAGATTGCTTTGTCCAATCAGAACTCTGGTCTACAAGACTTAGGAAAGCTGACAGGATCAGGGTGCTGGACAATCCCAATGACTTATAAAGTACAATCCTTTGTTCTTATCCTGGAAGATATTCAGTACCAAAAGCCAGACAAAATAATAAAAACATCACTCCGGGAAGGCAAAAAGTTTAAATAACTCGAATAGAAAGCTGTTATAAGTAACTGATGCATGACAGAATGAAGCAAGGAGGAGACTGTGGTCAATTTTATGTACTGTGCCTGTTGCAAAACTATAACTGTTCTAGATGCTTTCATTCTTGGGGGAATTCTATCTGCACAGTATCTATATCATATTTTAAAATCCAATCAATTTTTAAAAGCTATTTCATTTTAATTAAAACACCCAACTAAACTAAGACTGCAAATCTCTTTTGGTGTTGCTGATAGTTTAATGATGTAATATCACCTCTTTCCAGCTTGTTTATTTTGGGATATCAGAAAAACCTTGCAGGAATGTATCTGATTACATTGTTTAAACAAAACAACCAGCATTCTGGGGAACACTGCAAAGACATAGGAAGTGCAATAGGAGAACATTTAGATAACAAAAACTTTGTCATGAGTGATTAGTATTAATCAAGCTATTGGAAGGAATGGTTTTGAAGGGCAGCGCAATGGACAATCACTGGGTTGCAGGAATTTGTCCACTGTAAGCAACTGTATTATCACTCTTGTTAGCAAATCCATTCAAATATCCAAATACATTATTTCAAGATCTTTATGCATGTTCTATTACACTCCTTCCTTGTCTACTGATTAGCTATCTGGAAGATTCTGAAAATGCTTAGGTCTAAAAATTAGAATTTATGGGCACTCTGTAAATTCCTTATATTAGGTTAAATCCAGTGTTGCATGAACAGACCGTCCTTCATGTAGCAAGGTTTCCTGGTCTGCACAGTCCTCTATGTACCTCCAAGATTCCACACCACAGGGTCTCCCAAACCTCTGTAGCAGACTTGGGGTATATGCAGTGTCCACAGTGGAGAGCAGAAATTTGTTCCACAAGCAGTTTCTGATCTGCTGGTGGAAAGCCAGTGAATCTGAACCAATTAAATGCCAGATGTATGATGGTTTGATCATGTGGTTGCGATTATGTTCTCAAAAAGTCCATATATTTTATAAAGGATGTGTTCATATACATACTTGTAATTTAGCATATATAATTTTTGGCTTTCACACATTCATTTTTCAAGAGACAAACCATTTCCTTTGGGAAATGCCATTACATATAAGTAATATTGCTTTGCTTCATTTACCCTGCTTCATTTTCTACTACTTGCCTGTCCTTTGCTAACCGTTGCTTTTGCTTTAACGCCATGTTAAATTCCTGATGTCAACTACAGACTGTTTGGTTGCTTTTAATAAATCCTGTCTATCTATCCACCTATCCATCCTACCACATTTCAAAGTACATAAGACATAAACTTTTAAAACATTTGATGGATAAGGATTTTGGTCGCACAACATTCATTGTGAAGAATAATGTCTTATTAAAGCAGAATTCTGTTTCAAATGTTTTATTGTAGAAATTACCTGAGTGTTTCCCATAAATCAAAGCCATCTAAAGGCTTGGTGCCATTTGTACTTCCTCCAGCAAGCTTCACCAGAGTTGGCAGCCAGTCAGAAATGTGGATGAGGGCATGACTTTCCACTCCCTTCTGCTTCAGTAAAGGGCTTGCAACAAATCCAGCACCTCTAATTCCACCTTCCCACAATGTCCACTTTCTTCCTCTTAATGGCCAGTTATTTCCACCTGCCATAGTTTGGCCTCCATTGTCTAAAACATAACAACAAACAGTATCAATATTAATCATATGTACATATGTAATTCTTTAGATCTGTTTTAATTAACAAGGTTTATTGGATAAAAACTTGTGACCAGGGGATACAGGACTGTATCTTAATGGGAAGAGCCCATAGCTCCATTCATACTTAATGCTAAGCCGTTATTTAGGTTAACCTAAAGCAAAATATTTTGTTGCTTGAGCAATGAACTGTCTTGCAGACAAACAAACTGTGGCTTATTTCCTCTATTTCTGGTTCACTTCTCTCACAATCATTTGCCAGCCATCAGAAGCCATCCACTGCCCTGTGCTTCTTTGTTTCCAACCTGCTTTTGCCAGATAACTGTACTTCAGGGTATATGGTAACAAACAAACCAGGAATAAGCTACATCATAATGAGCCATGCTTTAAACAAGCCAGATTTCACAGTCAACAACAAACCAGTTTCTGGTTTTGGTTTGTAGCTGATTAACCAATTTGTTTGCTGGAATGGATTTGGACAAAATGACACACTAGATTTCAACAGATCACATCATATGTACAGAACAGACCAGACATGTTTTCATGGAGGTCTGAAGTTGAGTGCCCAACCTCTGACACTGACCAGGTTCCCATGACATAACAGCCCATGTACTGCCATTATTATTATTATTATTATTATTATTATTATTATTATTATTAT